CCTTTCTGGAAATTTCCAGAGATGATGTGTCATGGAATCCCCAGCCAAATCTCTTGTTCGAATGATATTAGGTAGTGTCCTTTTGGTATGCTGGTTGATCTTTCATAGTGTTAGTTTTTTGTTACTTAAAAATAATCAACTATAAATAAAATGTATTTTTGTAAAAAAAAAAAAAAAAGCTCACTGAACAGATGTATGCTATATTCAAGTAACATTTTTCTTATAAAATGCTACTGTTTTATTAGATGGATTTATGGAAGATAAGATGAAAGAATAATTCCACTACTTGTGTAACAAATGATCTATTCCAAATAATATTACTCTACTTTCATATGAAATAATTGATTATAAACTTGAAATCTTGGGTTTGCAGGGCACCTGGGTGGCTCAGTCAGTTAAGCGTCCAACTTTGGCTCAGGTCATGATCTATGGTTCGTGGGTTCGAGCCCTGCGTCGGACTCTGTGCTGACAGCTAGCTCAGAGCCTGGAGCCTGCTTTGGATTCTGTGTCTCCCTTTCTCTCTGACCCTCCCCTGCTCACACTGTCTCTCTCTCTCTCTCAGAAATAAATAAACATTAAAAAAAATTGAAATCTTGAGTTTGTATCTTAACATTTCATAAATATCTGTTAGCTCTAAATATTACTTGACAGTGTGTCCAGAAGATAGTAGCTCTTATTTGATTAAGTATCAGGCAGTCATCTTCAACTTTTATTTTCCCCTAGTCTTGTAATTATTGATGGGGTGAAGAAAGAGAGTGCTCATAGCTAAAGCATCATTGTCCAAAAAGACATATATGTCATAAAAGCACCACACTGCAGAGAAAATTGCCTGGTGCAGTCCAAAGTTCACTGGTCATGAGCGTGTAAACATGCGTTCTAGTTTCTGTTCTCCTGTCTAGAGAGATGAGGAGGAGGAAGGTTTAGACAAGTTTTGAGTCCAAATTCTACTCCACCATATATAAGCCTTGCCTTTGATAAGTCATTTAACTTCCCTGAGTTCCCATTCCCTAAATGGGAATACTATCACATCCCAAAGGGTATTATGAAGAGTAGTTACAAACAGGTACGTCAAGTGCTGTGATAAGCAGAATTTTAAGACAGCCCCTGTGACCCGCATTCTCTCATGATTATGTTACTATGGTATGGCAAAGGGAAATTATCCAGGTGTGCCAAATCTCATCATATGATCCCTTAAAAACCATAAATTTCTCTGGCTGGGAGCAAAAAAGGAAGTCGGAGAGATTTAAGGCACAGAAAGGATTCCAGAGCACTGTTACTGACTTTGAAGACAGAGGTGGTCATGTAGCAAGGAATGTGAGTGGCTTCTAGAAGCTGGGAACAGTCCCTGACTGTCAGCCAGCAAAGAAACAGGGATCTCATGCCTACAACCACAAGGAAATGAAGGAAATGAATTCTACCCACATCACAAATGAACCTGGAAGCAGATTATTCCCCCAGTTTCCAGATTAGACTTCAATCTGGCCAAAACCTTGATTTCAGCCTTTTGAAATCCTAAGCAGAGAATCCAGCTAAGCCAGTCTTGACTTCTGACCTAAAGTGTAAATGGATGTTTAATCAATTAATAGGTATTGTTTTAACCTGCTAATTTAGAGTAATTTGTTGTGCAGCAATAGAAAATCATTACAAGTGCTTATTACAATGTGGCACATAGGAAATGTTCATAAATTATATTTCTTATTAATAACTAATAGGCTAAACAAGCCATTTTAACTTCCTTGTATATTTGTAGGGAGCCAGGAAATAAATAAGACCTCACAATTCTTCATCACTCAGACTTCCTGTTGGCATCTTCCATTGCTGAAGACAAGGTAGCCCACTGCTGCAGTCCTTAGGGGTCAGCCTCCTAAAGGATGGCCTAGGGTACCATGCATAAGGGTGTGGAATGGATTTGGAGAGTGAATGGAAGAGATCCTGTCAAGGTGTGCTACAGCAGTTATAAAAAACTAAATGACCCTTTACTTGGGGGTATGTAGAAGTAGGGAAGAGGGTGGAAAGGACTGAACTGTGTCCCCCCAATTCATATGTTGAAGCTCTAATCCTCAGCTTGACTATATTTGTAGATAGAGCTTTTAGAAGATAAAATTAAATGAGGTCATAAGAGTAGGGTCCTAATCTGATAGGCCTTGTGGCCTTACAAGAAGAGAGAACATATCTTTCTCTCTCCATATGAATGCATGGAGAAAAAGGACATGTGAAGACACAGAGAGAATGTGGCTATCTGCAAACCAGGAAGAGGTTTCTTACCAGAACCCAATCATGCTGATACTGAACTTCTTGGACTTCTGGCCTCCAGAACTAGAAGACAATAAATTTCTGATGTTTAAGCCAGCCAGTCTATAGTATTTTGCTATGGAAGCCTGAGCTAATACAGGGAGTAAGGAACAGTTCTCAGAGGTAATGCTTGACAGTCCTGAAGAATAGGAAGGACCTTTGTTTCATGGAGTAAAATATAGTTTTTTTCCAGCTGAAGGAAACGTACAAAAAAACACAAATTTCAGGGAGCAGCATATATCTCAGCAGTTGAAATAGAGTGTACTTGGAAGAGAAGTGGGAGAGGAGACTGGACACGCAAGCAGGATTAGATGTTGAGGTTTTAGGCCAAAGATTTGTCCTAAAGGATAGAGCCTTGGGGAAAAGCAATGAGGATACTTAAGCTATTGGGAAGTACACAATAGTATCCATTTTCAAGACCATTCTTGTGGCTGAATGGAAGTCAGACTGATAAAATGTGGAGAATAATTTAGCTTTGATTTTCACAATGTGCCCCAGGAAGCCCTTTGGGTCCTAGAAGTCAAGGGTTACAATGAGGATAGACGAGGGAGCTAAGTGGGCAGGATCCTGGGACTCCATGTCCACCTCAATCACAGCAGTCTGTGGCCTGGGGCCAGACCTGGGATCTTCACTATGCTCAAGACAATCAGCCTTGCATATTTTACTTCAAAGACTGTACTGAAAATGGCTATCTGGAGGTCAAATGCACATGCCCTCCATCTTTCCAGCTATGGTGAAATAGAGAATTATCAAGAATTCTAAGAGAGAAACATGTCCAGATTCATGCCAGGAAGAAGAAGACAGATTTACTAAGTAATACCATCTGGATGAAGTATATAAACCCAACCTAGGTTGGAAGCTGGGCAAAACCATAGTCTTTTATGGCTCTTTGCAGATTTTCAGAGTACATCAAGGTAGGTTAGTGAAAAAATTAAAATTAAAAGTGATTTTCATGCCACAGAAATCTGCTCTTCTCTGATTTTTTAAAATCTGAAAATCTCAGTTTATAGTAATCTGGAATAGAAAAATATTGTACCACACACAAGAATTACTCTAAGATAGCCTTCTGCTCTAGAGAAAAGATATTATCATTTAGGAATGAGCTTTAAAAATCTCATTAGCACTTTTTGGCAACTGTATGGTCAAACTAAAAAGATTTTTAAAGATGTTTTAAGATTGTACAGTAAGAATCATGCCCAGCAGAGGGCAGTGCAACTCTCTCTACAGCCCACTTGTGAGCACAGCTGAATGATGTGCACATAAGGAGCTGAAATATTCTAGTCCATGAAAACTATTTTGTGTCTAGTGACTTAACCTTTCAAAACCACAACAGACACGTTGCCTAACTTCTATGTCTTTTAAAAAGGTGGCACAGGGAAGATCTATGAAAGTCTTGTAACTAAAAAACTCCCTGAAAAATTTTAGCTCCCTACAAATAAAGAACTGTACCATCATTTCTGCACAGGCTGAGGTTTCCATCACCTTCACAATTTAAAACAACTGTCATTGTTTCCTAAAACTTGCAAAAAAAAAACTAGCTTTTAAAAGAAACCAATATTTCAAATTTTATTTGTTTACATTTTCCTTTAACTTACATCATACATGGTCCCAATAGCTGATGGAATTTTTATTCTAGGGAGTTTTCTATGGAAATATGCAGTTCAGAAGTGGTTCTCACGTGAGATTTATTCTAACAAGGCACCCTACATCCTAATAATGTACAGTTGATCATTTTAACTTTTTTCTTCTAACAATAATGTGTTGATTCTAATTTGAATAGACTTACATCAACTACCATAATAGTCTTGACAGTCATTGATGAACAACATTTACATTCTTCAGAAGAACTGGTTTGAAATACTGATTTTCAGGTTTATATAGCATATGTGTAAATAAGACCTACACAAAATTCACATTTTTTGATCCACCAACATTTGTCCTCCACGTACTTCAACTTGATACAAGGCAATGATGGCAATGAATTATTACTTTTTTTTTTTTTAATATTTTTATTTATTTCTAGGAGAGAGAGAGAGACAGCACGAGCAGGGGAGGGTCAGAGAGAGAGGGAGACACAGACTCTGAAATAGGCTCCAGGCTCTGAGCTGGCAGTCAGCACAGAGCCCAACGCGGGGCTCGAACCCACGAACTGCGAGATCATGACCTAAGCGAAAGTCAGACGCTTAACCGACTAAGCCACCCAGGCGCCCCGAATTATTACTTTTTTAAATCAAGTGTTATAGCTCAAAAATTTGAAGAATCCTTAGATTCCAGTCTATGTCCTGACAATCAGCCACAGGAACGCTTAAGTAATCATATTTATTGTTTACTGCAAATATACAGATAGATAAGATGCACAAAGTTACCGATTTTTAAGAAAAGAATTATAATGAGTCAACAGTTCTAGATTACCATAAACTTATCTGCTGCTCAGAAAAGAGACATATTCAGTATTCTAGACTCATAGGAAATCTGAAGGACAGCAAGTAAACGATTCCAAATATAGTTACGATGGTCCAATTAGCTCAGTCACACTTAATGATAGGAAGACAGAATAGCTTTATTTCTTATTTATTTCATAGAAAAGAATATGACAGATCTAAAACTTAACAACCATGCTAGAGAATTTATAAGAGATCTCCATTGTCTGAGGAAGCAATGCCAAAGAGCAGAAATTACTGATGTGGTTGTTGTTTTCAAAACATTACCTCCAGAAATGTAGTTCGAATCCTTCACATTTTTCTTTGCATTTTAAACAGGGAGCTCCAAATCCTTGCTCATGACCTAAGCCCATCTGTTAAGCAGAAAACAATGTGTGTTATAACATTTTTTACAAATCTAAAAAATTCAATAAACTGCACTTCTAATTCTACTTACCACTCCTGGTTTTTTTAAACATTTCTTAAAATTTAAATCCAAGTTAGCTAACACATGACAATAATGTAATGTAATCATTAGTAATAATGCTTTCAGGAATAGAATTTAGTGATTCATCACTTATATATAACACCCAGTGCTCATCCCAACAAGTGCCCTCCTTAATGCCCATCACTCATTTACCCCATTTTCCCCCACCCAATACTCCTACAGCAACCTTCAGTTTGTTCTCTGTATTTAAGAATCTCTTATGGTTTGTCTCCCTCTCTGTTTTTATCTTATTTTTGCTTCCCTTTCCCTATGTTCATCTTTTTGTTTCTTAAATTCCACATATGACCACTCCTGTTGATAGAACTTTCAAACAAATCTTTTATGAGTATCACATTGTTTGGTCAATGATGACACTTAGATATGGATATGGGGACTTCAAATACCTACCCAACATACCTTGTATTCTTACTGCTTTTTTCATGAAAGGAAAAGCATCAGAATACAACTGTTTAGAGGACTACAAATACTGCAAGTTGCAAAAAGTCATGAATTTATCTCTTTGGTCACTAAATACCCTGTATGCAATAGGAACAGGGAACAGTTAAAGAGCCAGAGCTTGGAAAGCAAGCCTATCCCCAAATGAAATATTTTATAGCAAACAAGGAATATAAAAAAAGATTTTAGGAATTATGATTCAAATAATTTTATTTCATTTATTACTTATTATTAATTTATTTTATTAACATATGATCCATTTTATTCATTATTTATATACTTATTATACTCAAAATATTATTTATGATAAGTATAATAGCAATAACAAACATATATTGAATGCAAAGAATAGAGGTAAGCACTTATCAAAATCTTATAAAATCTCACAAGCAATATTATTCTCTAGAGACGAAAACTGAAATTCAGAAAGGTTACAGAACTTGCTTAAGATCAACAAGAAAATAAATGGCAGAGAAGTGATCTGAGTCCAGGTCCTTCTGACACTTTCAAAGCCTGTGTTTTTATGCCTGGAGTGGGAACAGGGGGGTGTACTACTGCCTTAATTATAGCAAACTATTTTTAAAATCACATTAAACAACAATCCTTGGGAACTTGCTGAGACATGACTTAATAAACAGAAGAGGAAGGGGTACAGATGAGGGAAGGACACAAGAAGGCAATATAAACTCTGTTACCCAACTATTCATATTAAAGAGTGGCCCATTTTGTATCAGCCCATCGGCAAATCACCAGCAACCAGGCTACTCTGTTTTAAATATCACATCAGTGACTCCTGACAAATTTGTTAGCACCTAGTACCTGGGGTAGGAGTCCAAGCTGGACAAATAATAGATTTTCTACCATGGCACCCTTTTGTAACTTTACCAAGTTCTGTTTTTGCTATGCAATCTAAACCACACTGTAGTTTGTTCCTTGAAAGATCAGTCTGACCATGCCCTGAAGTTCAGATGAAGTCCTTCCTTTTTTTCCTAATGAAAATGACCACATCCTCTTACCATAATGAAGGTCTACCCAGCTGCTCAGGGGAACCTATATTATTTTTAAGACAGACCATCCCAAGCATACTCTCCAAAGGTGATAAAAATCTGTCCAGTATTAGCTAAACTTCATCACCTTTGCCATGTCCCCATTACCAACTTTCCAAAAATGTTAGAATTATATAGTTTAATACTAGATGACACTTTTTATTATTTTTTTAAGGAATTAAATTGTTTCTTTGTCACCAGTGATCACAGCTCATTGTACAGAAATAAAATGAGGTAAGCAAGAGAGAGAGGAACTGGTTACTTGAGTTTTCTGGTCTTTTGTAAGGAATGTAATTAAAGAATATTCTCCATTACTATATCCAGACTAAAATGAACATCAGTCTAAAAAAGTGTATTCTTTTTCAAGCTCTTTCAAGTTTTCCATTATGGGAGAGTTAACAATCCTGAATCCACCTAGTATATGGGTTTCCTTCATACTGTGTTCCATTCATCTCCTGCCAAACTCTGATCCAAAATGAAAATCAAGATGACGTTATTAAGGCTTAATCACATAGCTCGGGTCAAATCAGCTGCTTCTAAACTCTCTTGTGTATCATTCACAGTAAGAAATACAGTTTATCTCATGACAGATATATGCACACACATATGAGATTGAGTTAATATTAAGTTCTTACCTGCCTTCAAATCTGAACCACCTGGTTTGAGCAACACTGGCCTTAATAAAATACTGCAAACACACTGGAAGAATAGCATCTTTTTCTCTAATTCTGAATGAAACTTGGAAGCTTAGCTAATATAACTAGAACCCCACTAGGTCGGCAGAGGTTTGACACTAAGGCCCAGAGTAGCTCATTGCTGACTTTGTAAGGGCCAAATTGTTTCCTTCCTACTTGCTTTTTTATCTTCTTAAAATAGTCATCAGTTTATCTATTAGAATTATTAGAACTGGTGATGTTTCATGAACATGTCTTTTAAAGTGGCCCACGTGCTCTTATTGCTGGACAGGCCTGGCCATCCCCCTGGTGTAAGAGGCCAGGAAAGGAAAATCAATAGGAGAGCAGTTCTGCTCCTAGTTGCACAGCTAAGTGAACAGCACGCTGACCTCACACCCCATGTGTGGCAGGCGCTCCACTGTGCCTCAGTAGAGCATCTGTGCGGCTTCCAAAGATTTCCTGGCCCATCTCTGTTTCAAGGGAAAGGACTACAAATGTAGCTGACTGAGAGCTCTAGATCGGGAACATATGAATCTGTCAGGAAGGTTGGGAAGGGTGTTTTAAACAAATATTGATTGAACTGCGCTGAAAGGATGAGTGGCTCCTAACTCAGCCAGGAGGAGGACAAAGCAAATTCAAGATGAGGAGACAGTTATATGAAGGCATCTGGCAGAAGCAGGCCAGATGTTAGGCCAGATTGTTAGAGCAGGGATACCTTAGAGCACTGGAAAGGTGATAGAACCAGACTTGCAACAGGCTGAGTGGGGTTCTGTTTTCCCCTTTTCTTTTCCTTTTCCCAAGGAAAAAAATAATCTTCCAAGGATGAGACTGGTAAGGAAGAAGCACTAGAGAGATGTAGTGGTGGGGAGTCAGGGAACAAGAGCACCCCTCAAGCTCTGCTGGTCAAGCCACAGAGGGGACCCGTCAGGGAGGTTAGGACACCTGACTCTGAAAGAAGCAGTAATCTGAGAAAATGGCTCTGCAGCCTTCTCCAGAGAGCTCAGAAAGCACTGCTCCCATGTTCTTCCACCCACGCTGGCTCCATACAGGTTCCTCTTAGCACAGTTTATGACCACCTGAAGAAAGTATCCCTCCAGCCTCTACACACACACACACACACACACACACACACACACACACACACACACACACACACACTTTCATCTTCCCCAAATGCTCAGACACAAGGACCAAGGAGACTCTCACAGTATCACAGAGAGGAAACAGGAACATGAAAAAGTGGAATGAGATCATGTATCAGTACGATACACTCTCCTGCCATAATTCAATGAAAGCAGTTCTAATTAAAAATAAACCCACAATGGGGGCACCTGGGCGGCTCGGTAGGTTGAGCATCCGACTTCAGCTCAGGTCATGATCTCACAGTCTGTGGGTTCAAGCCCCATATCAGGCTCTGTGCTGACAGCTCAGAGCCTGGAGCCTGCTTCAGATTCTATGTCCCTCTCTCTCTGTCCCTCCCTAGCTCACGCCCTGTCTCTCTCTCTCAGAAATAAATAAAAAAATAAAAAATGAATAAACACACAATGAAAAAGATACCTAGCTTTTAAACTCATTGTTCACAGCTAACATTATGAGGGAGAGTTTCAGGCTGGGAATGAACTTGTTTTCCTAGAGGAATTTCATTAAAAGAAATTATTTTTATAGCTATAAATATATAGGTATAAGACTTCAACTTCATTGATATCCAGCAATGAAGATCTCTAACCCATGCCACTTACTGGGTGAGAACTTCTTCCATATTCTTTCTCTTGTTATAAACCTCTGATAAAAAACAGTGCTACTAATAACAAAGAAATGTGGTTCACATGCTAGTGTGTGCCTAATTCCACATCTAGAATGCAGTGTGTTCCCTAATCCTTTGAAATCCAATTTATATGATAAAATTGCACCAGAGCAGACATATCTCTACTGGTATGAGGAAATTTCTTCTGTTTCTGTTTCTGTTCCTGCCACAACTTAGGGATCTAAGCATCTGGTATCCTTCCCTTGACAAGTCAAACATATATCACATGAAGGCAAGGGTACTAATTCCACTCTATAATAAAATGAGTTTCAGAGCTGGAGCTGCATCAGACAGTTTCTCAGTGCCCTATTCTCAGACCTTTTTGAGCAGGGGTCACAGAAGCTGAAATTCTCCAACTCTTCCAGTGCAAGGGTCTGGAACTCCATGTGCCCTAAGGGCTCAGCCAATTTCTCTCCCTCTTTCACTTTGGTGTTGAGGATTCCCTGAAATGAAGGACCCAAGACTCCTCTGCCTAGACTTCTTCCCTCCCCTTTATCCTCAGCACAGGCTGAACCTTCTGGTTAGCATCCTTCATTCCTCAAGAGCCTTGGCTGTTACTCTCAGACATCCAGATCTTATAGGTTGTTCTCTTCCCACATGTCTGGGCTTGAGAATTCTTGGTGAGGGGTAAGAACAGACGTTCTTAATTAATGATACCCAGAGTGTGTGCAGGGAAGTGAGGGAGGCAGTGGTACAGGGGAAGGGGGAATCCAGAAAGTGCTGGCAACCTGGCTGTTTAGAAAGTGAAGTCCAGATCCCTGGACTAATATAAACACCAAGATATGTGTGCTCATAGGGAATGTATTGTGAGAATTAGTCATCCCAGGTATTAAGCAAATGATTAAGAATGACTTGGCTAAACAGAGAACCATGAAAATGTAGAAAGAGCACTCAAGGGAGTTGGAAA